CATACATACTCACATACATACTCACAAACTTATACATGCAAACATGATCAAACATGAATACATGTGGTTCTGACGGTACTTCGAAATATCTCTTCATGTGCCACCGAGAAGCGTCAGGCTACAAGCCAACAGCCGGTTCAACAGCAGATGGAAACTCCGACGCCGCTGCCCTGGACGGAACCCTACACGGAGCCCCGGCAAGCTATTGGGCCAGTTGTTGGGTTAGTTGTTACGAGGGACTTAAACTTATGATGCTAATGGCAATAGTTGATCATCAGAACAGTATGGTCAAGTGTGTCGGCTTTGCTTCGCTTTTGTAAGGGATCGCTAGGCAGCACCTAAATCCGAACCCCGAACCATTAGTCTGAACTTCTAGACCCGTGGCTCAGCTCCTTTCGCCCTTCAGCAGTGCAGTGGATTTCTCAAATTTAGATTGGCATTAGGCCGTAAACCAGACGTAAACTCATGCTACCGCTCTGTGCCCAAACACGCGCGCGTACACACACACACACACACACNNCACACACACAGAGACAGACAGACAGAACCGCCTGGCACGCTGCTGATGCACTCCTACTTCCAAAGCCCTCCTGCTCCAGCAAGTACGGATCTTCAGGTAAACTTCTACAGTACCTGGAAAAGGCTTTCGAAGGTATCCTTAGGCAGAATCCTTTCTGCCACCCACCTGAAAGCCCCTTTTCATCCCTTGAGGATGGTGAGCCGCTGCAAGGAAGTGCCCAATACACCAGATTCCGACACTGCGGAAGGTAGCCTCAGGATGAATATCCCGCCTCCCCCCACTGGAGTTCATTATTCCCCTTGAGGCCTAAATACCAAACAGTGATTTTTAAATGAGGGGTTTCATTGCATACCTTACCGTCCTTGATCTTGAACCCTGAGAATTTGGAGCTTGGGACATTGGAGTGTTGGGCCCGACCTTCCAACCCTTGGCCCGCAAACCTGCCCTACAATCAAACCTCGAAACCCTAAACCCTAAANNAAACCCTAAACCCCTAACCCTCAATCGCAAAACCTCCAGCCTACGGATGATCAAAATCCAGCTGCTCAGGAGCCCCTGCTGCCACCTGCACAAGAGGACTTGTCCCCCTCTGCGCCGCCGCTGCAACCTTGGGAGGTGGCTCAAGCAGCGTTACACGGTTCAGGGTTTAGGGTTGCGGGTTTAAGGTGTTCCGAAAGCAGAGCTTCTATTGTTCAGTTTGCTTGTTTCTTTAATTTGTTTTGTGTGTGTGTGTGTTTAAGATTTTGTAGGTTGGAGTTTTCAGTTTTGCACACTGGCGGTGTTTGCATTGACAGATGAAGCTTTCGCATCTTTTGGTCTGGGATATGGTGACCGTTTCTGAAGATAACTCGTGGCAGCTTTAGTACAAGTCTCCAGCGGGACCTTCAGAAAATGAGGAGGCTCAAGGACTATAAATACTAAGATCCTAAGTATAAGGACTTGAATTCTAAGGCACCCTAGGCTTCAGGAAGTCCTTAGTGGTTTTTCTCTTAGCAGTTCCTAGGGCCGTCTGCGTGGCCCCGAAACTAAGGCTCATGGCCGCCACAAAGCGTCTCCGAAAGAATGTCACGCAGTGTTCATCTTCCTTAAAGTCTTAGCCGACGAGAACCTGCTCTCGTGAAGTTTATCAAGGTAGATAAACCCTATTCTACAATTTGGGGGGGTGTTGATGGTTTGCATCTAGAGACCCTTCTACGGCTTCGAAATCCTTGGACAAGTCTGAGTACGTCATATAAGTCCTGTTAACCTCCGCAAAATCAGCTGAAGGTGGGGCCTCAGAACATGTACGACGAGGCTACATACCACGCCGAGCATTTTCATGTGCCTGAGGGCATGGCGCAGCCTGAGAGCATGGAGGCAGGGGATTGGGATTGAGTGTTGCAGGAGTTTTGGCGTAGAGCCTCGAGCCTTGGGTTGTGGAGTTCAGCGTTTCGGATTAGGGGGAAGTAGCTTCGGGACTGGGCTGGCTTGTGAAGGTTCTCTTGCCAAGCTGTCTTTTCGGATACGGAGGGCTTTCCGGTTGTCGGGTTAGGAGTAGCTGTGCAAGCCTAGACTCGACCTTAAATCCATGCTCAAAAACCTAACACCAAACTGGGAAGCCAAAAGCTCAAGACGTGCTGAAGGTTGTGGGTTTAGATGGACTACCTTCATTACACTGCTTGCACAGTCTACACATTGAAGTCTAGTCCAAACTTCTACACCATAGGCACAACTACAGGACGTGTCCCTGGCTGCCGAAAACGTGCCTACACGCTCCACGACTCTCTCACACACACACAGAGGGATTAGAGCATGCATAATTAAAGTCAGCCGAGCATTCCCATGCCGATGCACTGGTATTCCATGCAACCCGCCGTTACTTTCCTTCGTCTCTCTTGTATCACTCCAATCCTCATTACGCCGAAGCTACGCAGGCCCCAACCTCGCCGCCTTGCACATTCCTGGACCCTCAACCCTACCCCAAAAGCCACCAGCCCTGTAAAGCCTAAAGCACACCTCCAAAGAGCCTCACCGAAGGACTGTTACTTAAGTAGAAGAGGGATGCTGAAGAAAAATAATTAACGCCTTTATCAAGGAGACGTGAATTACAGGATATTGAACAGTGAACTCTATGCAGCACGTATGAAGCCCTTAAGACCTTTTCGAGAGCCTCGAAATAGGAGGAGCCCTTTTGCGACTGAGAATGTAAACGCTCAGTCCTTGGAAGTCCTGAACACAAAACCTAAGCCCGAATCCCTCAACCCTAAAACAACATACAGTTGATTAAAGAAACCCACAAAAACTAAAAGCAGTGAAACCTTAATCCGAGAATACCAAAAACAGGCCTGGATCCGTCAGCGCCGAGAGATTCTCCGAGATTGGGGCCAGAAGCGCGAGCAGAAAATGCATCGGTCCCTCTTCGGCAGAAGAAGGGCAAAAGGCAATTAAGGGTTCAGGGTTTGGGGTTTA